CCGCACTCCCTGTGAACTCCACTTCACAGCCTGGGGCTGAATGTGCCCTGATCAAATATTTCAACACTCCCAAGTATGTATGTTGAGAAGTAAGCGCACACGCAGAGCTATTAGGTAGCCGCTCAGGCCGCCTCTGTCATAGGCCAGTCTAAACCAGTTCTTGTTTATCTCTGGCACAGTGGCCGCCCTTGTATCAACAACTGCAAGCGAGCGAATGAGACTTGCACGCAATGTCACTGCATTAAATACAAGCATGACTCATTTGCATGGTGCGCTTGAGCTCAAAGTTGCCAAAAAAAAACAAAGAATTATAGAAACTAATAACTCAGAAATAATAATTTTGAAAGCTCAGATATGAGAGTAAAGCTTTGATGCAGCTTGATAACAAAATACTTTTTTTTAGATAAATTCAACGAAAAATCAAAAGACTAAATTAAAACATCACAAAAGAGAGAGAAAATAATGCTACAAATAATAAAACTAGTGAATCAGATTTTAACATGATTCAAAATGTTGATCCTGAAGCAAAAGCAATGCTATGATTTATTATTTTCATAATATAATTACACGAGTTCGCCTGCCCAAACAGTCCTGATGGTTAATGGTAAATGAACTTGGCTTGCTGTCCTTAATGGAGGCTCGAACCCGAGGCTCGGCTTAAGCGCCGAGTTCATCCCCCCATTGCGGTACTACCTAGAGGGAGACAGACAGAAATAGAGGAGGAGATGGGGAGGAGGAGTAAAAATTAAATTAGTATTTAATGTACTAATAGATTTATAACCGATATGATATGTTTAATATAATATATAAATCATATCAGAATCTTTTCAGAGACTTTGCAGGTGGCAGCCGGTCAGAAGCCGATCTGGCACTCCTGCACCAATAGCATTGCAGAATGTCTGTAAAAGGGGGCGGGGCCTGCATTGCTGACCACTGGTTACACTGACTCAGCTGAAAGTCGTTGCATGTCAGGACTGACCCCTCTGGCAGCAGAGTCACCAACGGACCATCTCTGACTCACGGAGCACGTCCCTTCTTAGAAACATGTCCCGCCACTTCTGGACTAATGTTACAGTTATGAAAGTGTCCTCCATTCCCATATTTAGATCCATGACATTATGTAAAAGGGGAGAGAAGCATCTTCACACACTTCTGTGTTTTCACCTGTTGTGAAAGAAAAACTGTGGTATCATTGGTGAATTATATTTGATTTAGGGCTTCTTTTTAGATATTTAATAGGGGTCATCGGATGCAAAACTCACTTTTACATGTTATTTGAACATAAATGTGTGTTGGCAGTGTGTGTACACAACCAGCCTATAATGATAAAAAGTGGTATTTTTTAATCTCTAAAAATAATATCCCCTTTTTCAAATCTCAGCTTCACACAGACATCACACAGGCCAAGGCCACTCCCACCATAGTTGATTGACACAGCCGTCTTACCTTAGACTCGCCCTGAGTGAGCTGTAACAGTCCGACCGCCATTGTTTCGACGCCGGAGCAGGGACGTAGACAAGAATGGCTCCTAAGCGATTGAGGTGTTTTGTTGTTGGATGTAATAATGAACATAGCAGTCGTCATTTACTCCCGACATCTGAGCCGCTGAAGACGCAGAAGATTAATGTTACTTCATTTTTGAAGGGAATGCGCCCTCCGTTCTACCTAAATGCGTCTATGTTCGCGCGAATCATTCGTGATCCAGCTACACCTACAGATGGAGTATAAGGGTTTTTTATGAATCTTTGCAAATCGCCTTTCCTAATAATGTGCTAGTTAGCAAGTTTCGTGGCTAAATGCAGCTAAAGTAAACAGGACGGCTCGTCACCCCACAGAAGAGAGGGGCGGGGTGAGCAGAGCTCATTAGCATTGAAAGGGAAATGCAACAAACCGGCTTGCTCTGAAAAAAACTGATTTTAACAAGGTAAAAAGGGTGTTGTTTTACACTACCATTGAGAAATTTTTACCAAAGTATGTTATAGACTTTTAAGACCCTAAAGAATCATATCAACTTGTGGAAATTGGGCATCCGATGACCCCTTTAAGCTCCAATTCCTTGCTTTGTGTTTCAGCTCCTTCACAGAACATTCAAAACAGACATTCTTTCGTCTGCTCGTCTAGACTTTGGCATACGTGTTGAAGTGTGTACGGCGGATTAAACCCTGCACACAGAGCGCAGATGACGCAGGCTGATAGTTTTCCTCAGGTTAATCCTGCAGTGCTGTAACACCTGCCAAATACACAGCCTGCCACAGGAACATGTCTGGAGACACTTGAATTATTGAGACTTGTCAAGAAGAGCCTAGGGCGAAGATATTACATAATCTTCGCATTCTGTTAAGACACACTTCTCACCCAGTTCTACTTGATCCTCTACTTGTATGTTGGAAAGAAGAAGGGTGGTGTTTTTGTGCCAATTATAGTGGAGACCGGGGCTAGTTGTCACATGGGTTACACTACCGGTAAAAAGTTTGAAATAATTAAGATTTTTTTAATGGTCTTGAAAAGAGTCTCTTAGGGTCACCAAGTCTGCATTTATTTGATCAAAATATCAGTAAAAACAGGAATATTGTGAAATATTATTACAATTTTAAATAACTGGTTTCTATTTGAATATATTTTCAAATGTAATTTATTCTGTGATGCAAAGATTAATTTTCAGCATCATTACTTCAGTCTTCAGTGTCACATGATCCTTCAGAAATCATGCTAATATGCTAATTTGCTGCTCAAAAAAATATTTATTTTCTTGTTCTTGTTTGGATGTTCGTTTCAAACATATAGTCCCCATTCTGTAGCATACATACAGTGTGACAACATTTCCTGATTTTAGGGCATGTTGTCACCAAAAGTGAAAGAAATTAGTCTTTTCGTAGCCATTCCTGAGGTTTTTGCCTGACTTTTCAAAAACAAACCTCCCCTAAGAAATAATAACTTAAAGGAACACTCCACTATTTTTGAAAATAGGCTCATTTTCCAACTCCCCTAGAGTTAAACAGTTGAGTTTTACCGATTTCGAATCCATTCAGCCGATCTCCGGGTCTGGCGGTAGCACTTTTTGCTGTAGCTTAGCATAGCTCATTGAATCTGATTAGACCGTTAGCATCTCGCTCAAAAATGACTAAAGAGATTCTGCTAAGCTGCAACTAAAAGTGCTACCACCAGACTGGCTGAATGGATTTGAAAATGGTAAAACTCAACCTTTTAACTCTAGGGGAGTTGGAAAATGAGCCTATTTTCAAAAATAGTGGAGTGTTCCTTTAAGTCAACTAGCCCTGGTCATTCACATATGTAACTGTGTTCTAAAATGTATTTGTTAAAAACTCTATACAATCCTAATGATTATTCTGTTGATGTTTATCTGAATTTAATTGACATTTCCAGCTGTACACTTAAGCATTTTACACTCCATTTAAAGCAATGAGCTTTAATGAGCTGAAGAGATCCAGTTTTATCCCTGACCAGTGGAGGAAAAGTAGGTTAGTGGTCCACTTACAGCTCTTGGGAGCAAACATCTGCTCCGTTTGAGCCTGGGAAGAGGAGTGGAAAATATGAAGCGTTCCTAGCGCACATGAGGTCTGTGTGCCCACAGACAACGAAATCCTTGTGTTCGGTCAGCATCTGGTCCTTAGACGGCCAGTCAGCTGGAATGCCAAGAGAACGGAAAGGAAAAGACGTTTCCTCTGAAGGGAAGCTGAAGCTTGTGAAGCCAAACGACTCAATGATGAAGTAGAATCATATAAAAATGTTAGCAAATTTGTATTTTTATACTTTGGAGGTTGTTTTGCGTACAATTTAGATGCAAACGCAATGTAAATGCTGGTGGTGAAAAGTTGCACAATGAAGTCTGTGAAATGGTTAAAGATCTCACCTCGGGATATGTAACACTCGTCTGTCTATTTGCACTTTGTGTTGTTTTACATTTAATCCCATCATGTTTTACCAACCTGGGTCATTGTTCTAGACATGGCAAAGCACATGATGTAACCAGCATCTCTGGATCTTTTTGTACTTTTGACATGCAATAGCCTTGACTATGATATACAACCTCATCTCCACTTTGTCAGTGATTTATTGCCAAGAGTTTTTGTCTGAACATATAGGAACACCTGTGTTTGCCAAATATGTCAAGTTCCCTAGTGTAAATTGGCATTCTTGAAGTATGTTCTAACAAGTAATAAAGGAAAACTAAACTTTAGTTTTTGTATAAAATGGCATATTTATTTAAACAGACTGGTGCAAAAACAGACAAACATACATGTTTTTTTTATATGACATCATATAGACAACCTACAAAATGGTATAAAAGTTAGAAACAAGCCAAGAATACAAAACTATGTGGAAACGCACTGAAAACACAGCGGATATTGCACTGTTCGACTTGGGAGTAGCTTAATACCCATTTCACCCATCAACCCCTGAAATGAAAAACAAATGGAAGCCAGTTTAATTAGCTCTGGACCAGCCTGACTGAAGAGTAACGTCGCTTCCTATATGCAGTATGCATTACATGTTCAGTCTTTATGAGGGTTCTTTAATTCCCTGGAAGTGCATGTTTGAGAATGTTCTCGTAGTATCTAAGATAAAACAATAGAAAACAAAACAAACGGCAACAATTTTCACCATGACCCAAAGCACAAACATCAAGGTAAGGATGCATACAGTTCACAAAAAATACATAGTCCCTTTTTTTAGGTATAGGTAAATGCCAGCACAAGCGCACAAATTCAGACATAAACAGAGATAAAAACAAACATGTTCTTTGTGCCAAGGCCACAAAGATTGTTTCATTAGTCCAAACGTGTAGCTAGTGACTCTAGTCTGTCTGTTTACAGCACATTTATGCAAACAAACATGGCTAAAATCAGATGTAAACGTCAGAGCATATTTTTGTCAAACTTGTGCATCATATTAGCCAAGCTTCGGTATAGGGTTGCAAAAAGGTGGAACATTTCCAGTAAATTTCGGAAATATTCCAGAAATTTTGGAAACTTCCCAGGATTTTTTGGAATATTCTAGGGATTTTTGGAAAGTTTCTGGAAATGTTCCACCCCTTTGCAACCCTACTTCGGTATACACTTTGAATGCAATCGATGAAAAGTGCTATTAAAAAAAAGGCCTACACCAACAGACCACAGTCAGAAGAGTAGGGAAAAAGAAAGAGTCTAGTTAGCTCTTATTTTGCACATATAGTACGAGGCTCTAAATGTGTTGTGGAGAACGTCTTGCTCCTCGATGAGCGTCCTCTTCGTTCGCCATCAATGGTATCTTTTCTTTCGCCACTTGAATCAGTGCCATGTTTAGTTTGATGCTCTCGAAGTTTCGTTCTATCAGAAAGGCAACGTGGCATGTCAGAATCCCATCCATAATGCTTTGCAGCAGGTCTTGTTGTATCCACATCTACAGTTTACAACGTTCTTAAAACGTTTCAAGAAAATCAATGTGGTAAAGCCACTTCTTTTAAGTCAAGAAATGACAAGTCTGTCATTGTTCTGTTGGAGTGGATGCAGGATGGTTGGAGTTATTTGTTGCTCTTAGAATAATGATCACCAAAAAATCTTCAAGATGACTCGGTCTGATCATTCAAATAGATGAAGAATCACATCCAAAACAAGGCTGGAGATGTTTGGACACTCTTCTCACACTTAGTGGTGTTGTGTTTAATCCATCTTGGTGTCAAGGGCACAGTTTCCTCCAAACAAATCTTGTATGTACTCTTTTCACCAAGGATGGAGTGGGAGGGGAATCACTCAAGATCTTCAGCGGATTTTAGGGGCCGCTGAGCTGGACTCGACTCAGATTGGGAGTGTTTCCTGGAGGATATCCATCTGCGCACCAAGATGGCTACTCATGCCTCCTCATGAAGGAAGAACAAACCCCAGTTGAGGTTGTAGAGATAAGAGATCCCTGACAGCACTGGTCAGGTGTTGTCACTCCTTCAGCGGGATGGACAGGTATCTGGTCTCCTGTCCATGGAGCCGCATACCTGCTCAGGATGGGGATCAACCTATCAAGGGAGAAGAGCAAGGTTTGAGAACACAGGAACTCAAATGCATTAGCAAGATAGAAGCTACAAAAAGTCTTTGAACTCAACGCACCTCAGAATACAGAGGCGGAGGTTGGAAGCGGAACTCATGGATGTAAGCATAAAGTGGTCCTTCAATCTCATCTCTCACAGCCGGGAGCTCCAAGTTGTTCTGTCGCTCCTCATTGGTGATGATTTCAGAGTAGCTTGGTGGAGCTAGAAGAGTTGAGGACAAAGCCAACAATTAGATCACAAAAGACTTCTAAACTGATTGTTTAATGTCAAACAGTCATGAAGTATCTTGAGCAATGGGGCTCAATCCTACTCCTGGAGATCTGCCTTTGGATTAACTGGAGACTGGGAAGTAGACTCTAAAAGAAGGTGGTCCTCAAGGAGCAGGACTGAGTACCCATAATCTAAAGGGTCTAGGTAACAAGTTTAGGATTTGTGCCATACCTTCAGGTCTCTCAGGCAATCCCAACCAGCTCATAGCCATGCTGCACTGACTGCTGACAGAAGAGGTGCGACTGCCGAAGGAGTGGAGTGGAATGGTGCCGATCACCAAGGGCAGGTTCAGGGTTAAGTTGACAGCTCGAGGGATGTCCACATACACCTGTCGAGAAGCAAGAGGTTAGTTCCATGGCAGATATTGGCAAGCAGTTTACTTTGTCATGAATCAAACAGTTTGTAGACTCACCATGAGTGAATATTCCACATGGATGATGCTGCAGTCCAGAATGGAAGGCGAAATGGGTGGGATCTTCAGCATCTTGCCGTCCCAAGTCTCGCTCTTGCCAGGGGGTAGAGGATCTCCACGGAGGTTAGCTACGAGTTGTTTGATCTCCTTGACCTTCCCTTTGGCAAAGAAGGTCTGGGTTTGGTAGATGGCTGCCTTTGGCACGACCACACGGGAAGAGCAGTTTTCAATCTCTGCGAAGATCTGAATGGACTCTCCTGCAAAGAAAACCAACCAAATTCATTCACTCTGAATGATAAAACTTTCATATTAGTTAACTAGTGGCTAACTGTCCACCAACAAGCAGGTTTATCATCTCACCTGGAGTGTAGCCCTTCCTCTCGATTTTGGCACTTAGTGAGACAGGCCCTGAGGTGCAGAACCAGCAGCAAAGGGTTTTGTCCTTTGTGCCAGCCTGAGGAGACTATAAATGAAAAAGTGACAATATATGAACCTCTGAAATTATACAACAGCTCAAGCAAAAATTCAGTTTTACATTATAAGGTTAGGCTTCAAATGCTTTTCTCTTACCAGTAACAATGGAGTGTTGATGTCAATGTGCTCAAAGACGGTGAACTCCTTCTTGGTTTTCATGGGCAGGAGCCATGGCCTATGAAGCTCCGCCTTCAACCAGTACCGCACGCTGCCGTGTTTGCCTTCAAAGGATGTCGCCAAAGGCCTGGAAAGAGACATGAAAAAATAATGTAAGCGCTTTGGTCGATACATTATATATGTGTATAATCAGGCAGGAGAGTTACTTACGTCTGGGGCAGTTCAAGGCTGAAGAGAAACTCGTGTCGCCCTGAGTGAAGAACGGTGAAGCCCTCGACACAGCTTTCATCATCTAAAACAAAGGAGAATAAAGCTCGATATACCAGTATACTATACCTGTAATATTCCTCAAGAATCCTAAACACAAGACAAAGACAGAGATACGACCCACATTGTCTAGTGCTTCAATGAATATAGGAATAGAACACAACATTTTAAAACATTGCAAAACAATGTCAGCATAAGAACATTTTTTTTTTTACAAAACCTTTTCGAAGTGGGAATAGAAGAGCAAACTGTCCATAATTTGGTGTAGTATGTTTTTATGCTTTTCAAAAGAAAAAGGGGTGAACCTTGTCACATCACTAAAACCTTAAATATATGAACAAACAAAATATCTAGTTAAAAAATGCAATGTTCTAAATTCACAACAAAAAAATTAATATAGGAATATTTAGTCTTAAATATGTTTTTTTTTAGTAAAAGATATTGTTTTGATGTATTTTCATAGCTTTTGTTCATTCTTTTACTTCCACCTCAGCCGGTGTAAATAACTATGGCCATAAATAAATACACACACATGTTGAAGCAGTTGTTTTCATTCATTTTTATTTTTAAAATGTATTTGTATCTCTTCTTTTTATTGCCACCTCAGCAGTTCCACAGCCTGCTGTAAATGAAGGCCTGTTACTCGAAGGCAGCCAAGAGCTAGAGAGGACCGGACTGAACTGGCGCGAGCAGCCTCTCTCAGCCGGATTTCCTCATGCATATATTACTAGTCGGCTCCTGATTGGCCAAAAGACACACTGTAAGGAGCATCTGTCATTGCAGTCCCATCTTTCATAAATAAAAAGTGCTTCATTAAAAATGCTCCTTACCTCTATCATGTCCAATAAGGACGTCTCTGTGGTTTAAATACTCCACTTCTTCAGTGAAATTCTGTGTGTAGGCAGTGTTGGACCCAGCATTGCGAGATTCGGTCCAGCGAACTTTCGCCAGACCCTTGGCGTGAATGTTCAGAGATTTCACGCGGATTTCTCCGGTCACTTCGACGACCACCCGACCCGAGACAAAGTCCCCACTGGCGAAGACAGGGACACTGCTGTCATTGGGACAGTCGTAGCTGACAAATAAGTTTTTCACCTTTCCGAGCACCATGGTGGAAATCTTACTAAGCTGTAAGATATTTAAAATAAAAAGAGCGAATCATCTGTCAGATGTTTCTATGAAAGAAATCATCCAAGGGTTGTGCCGTGCAGAAAGGCTGCAGGCAGGTTCACTGCTATACTTGTCTGTCATTCATTGAGTTTTGCTGTAGCTGCATGTGAAGATGCAGCTGTATCTCTGCGCTCTGGCTCTGCTTTAATACCTCCGTTTGGTGGAAAAACAACCGGACTGCGCATGCGCAGTCAATAAGACTACTGCTGCTGCTCCCTTCTTTTCCGCCTTCCTATGCTTCAGTGTCTGTTGTATTGTTTAAAAGTAGCCTTTCTTCACAGACTCGTACATCCAAGTGTTTTACTAATAAACTAGTGACTGCATAATAGTATGCCTACTTTATTTAATAATACATAGTGGTGTGAAAAAAATACAAATGTGAATACAGTATCACAGTGAAACAAAAGAAAGTGGAAGGAAATAGAAACAAACCGACTTGAATCCAGATGCATGATTGTTCATGCGTTGTTGACATCTAACACAGAAATTCGAATGCACTCGCATGAATGAAATCACTCAGACTTGATAAAAAACGCTTTTTAGACGGATTTAGCAAGCTTTAAGAGCCAAGCTAAAATTTTTAATGTGGATTTTTTTTCTCCCCCTATAGATGGCTGTAATTGTTAATTGATGTTTTCATGACATGTATGGTTTTAGTGTTCAATCTCATCATTTCAAGCGCGGGGCTTTCATAGTTATCCAGTGTCTCTTCACTGCCACCTGTCTGATAAAGGGGGTTATTGCAGAATGCAACTTCTAAATAGCATACTTTATTAATTTAAAGGTGAAAAAAATACAAATGTGAATACAGTATCACAGTGAAACAAAAGAAAGTGGAAGGAAATAGAAACAAACCGACTTGAATCCAGATGCATGATTGTTCATGCGTTGTTGACATCTAACACAGAAATTCGAATGCACTCGCATGAATGAAATCACTCAGACTTGATAAAAAACGCTTTTTAGACGGATTTAGCAAGCTTTAAGAGCTAAGTTAAAATTTTTAATGTGGATTTTTTTTCTCCCCCTATAGATGGCTGTAATGGTTAATTGATGTTTTCATGACATGTATGGTTTTAGTGTTCAATCTCATCATTTCAAGCGCGGGGCTTTCATAGTTATGCCGTGTCTCTTCACTGCCACCTGTCTGATAAAGGGGGTTATTGCAGAATGCAACTTCTAAATAGCATACTTTATTAATTTAAAGGTGGGGTAGAAATATTATTTAAACCTTACTATTAGAAATATTATTTAAACCTTACTATTAACATTTACTATTACATAACATTTATTTACTTTATCTCACAATTCTGACTTTCTTTTCTCGCAAATGCAAGTTTATATCTCCTAATTCTGACTTTATAACTCGACTTAACTCAAAAATAGTGAGTTTGTCAAAGCTGAGGGGGAAAAAAAGCCAGAAGAGCCGAGGGGAAAAGAGAGAATGATGAGTTGTTTTTCCTTATTAGAATTGTGAGATATAATCTCGGAATTGCGAGAATAAAGTCATAATTTTTAAATATAAAATCAAATTTACCTTTTTTAAATTCTTTCATTCCATGGCTCCATAGACTGCCGCTTGAAAACCGTCATTTTCTGCCTCCAGATAGGCTCCGCCCACAACAAACGTCACCCCTGTTTCGGATCTGTAAGACTATCCCACGCGCTAACGTCAATTTCGTTGAATAACAGTGCTTATCGCTGGGTTACAAGCTCTTGTAATATGCGTAGAACATTTTGAAAATTACATCTAATCAATATAATTTATAATCTTTTTAAACCTAACTATTTTGTACCGTATCCGTGAAATTCTCTAGTTGTAAAGGCTATTTCTCCCGGCTTAGCTGTTGCAACGCAGACACGGTGTTACTCACCTATCGAGAAGAAACAAAGCAACCTCAGCGTCAATCTGCAATCGCAGGCCTTCCGCTCCTTGAGTTCTCTTCAGCGCTGGAAAGCTGATCCGATATTTACACGGGTCCTACTTCTTGCCTTAAGCCTTCTTTTGTTCCGCAGACGTTTTCCTCTTTTGTTTTTTTATCCGCCATCTCTATCTATCTGTCGCTCGGCTCGGCTAATGTCCGTCCTGTGCACTGAACTCTCTCTCCTCCTCATCATGAGTAGACACGCCCCTTACTGCTGATTGGCTACAAGTTTGTTTTGCTACTCGGCCGAATTAGTTTTCTAAAACATTTTTGAAAAATTGCTTACCCCACCTTTAAACTGATATTATCTACAGACAGAAACTTTTGCTTCAGACTTTGACAGAACAGGCTAAATCTTATGTACTTTAGTATTTCGTATAATGTACTGTACAAGTACAATGTAAATTGTATTCTTTTGTAAGTATGCTAAATGCATAGATGTAAATATATTGTGGGAAAGAAGAGAAAATGTTGAAGCTAAATTTTTATTTGTGAAAGTTTTGTTTAATTTTCTTCTTATATTTTTTATTATGTTTGTAAATATGCCTGATACAAAATACTACAAAATACTTCAGCTGAAGAAAACAAGAAGAGTATACATATACATATATATATATATATATATTCAGATTTACCAAAAAATATTTTTTGTAAGTATTATATTAGTTTTGCTTTACACAATAAACACAAAACAATACATGAAATAATAAAATAATAAAAAATAATAATAACAAGAAAAGCACACTTTTAAGAACAATTAGGGCATATAGGCAGTTTCAGTGGAAAATTAAACAAGCACTCAATAGTGGGCATGCAGCATACTAATTATTACACTGCTGGTCAGAGTCAACATTACACTGGGCCAGATGACCTAGAAATGGTTGCCATATACTGTAAAATTTATCAAGATTACCCATAAATCCATACCAGACTCTTTCCATGTGAAATATTCCAGTAAGATAAGTCAACCACGTCTTAAACTGAGGAACAATATCCGATTTCCACACCCTTAGAATGACAATCGTAACAATAATCATTCCATCAATAATGGTACTTTGTACATTGTGGTGCAACAGAATATCCATGTAACGTGATTTCTGTATCAGGCGGATAAACACAACCATACATGTTATACATACAATGACCAATTTTATAATCTAAAATACAGTTCTTTGAACATGAAACTTACAATATAAAAGTCCATATTATTTGTCAAAACCTCAACAGCAGATGGCAGCAAATCTCTATTCAAACTCATGAACTTGATACATTATTTAAAATGACCAATTTCCAATTTAAGCACAACTGTTACAGACATGCTAAAAGTAATGATAAATTTGAGTTATTCCCAACTATTGCATGGTCCCTGGAGGTGTAATATGGACAATACATATGTCATTTCCAAAGACAGTATTTTAGTTGTCCCATTTTTTACAGCACAAACGCTATCGATCAGATGTAAAAGGTAAAACATACATGCTTTTGCAAAGAAATCTGGAGCACAAAACCCCATTCGTTTACGAGAATAAAGATTCTGGAACAATTTCGCCAAGTAATTGATTCTATTCAGATCAATTCTCATTGGATGACCATTATAACTCAAGACAAAGACCCTTTCAGTCCTGTCATACTAAAACAATGGCCATGACTGAGATGATGGATCCATTTCTACCTTTCCCACTCGTTTTATGTAGTTCACTGGATGATCTTATCAATTCCATCCTCCAGAGCAGGGACAGGTCTGCTCTCTCCGGGTCAGAGGTCACCGTCAGAGTTCAAAGGTCAAATTTAGTATTTAAATTGAAGACCTTACAAAATGCTGATGGATACGGGTAGCTTTTATCATAATATCATTACACTGTTGGCTCTTAAATGATTGAACGATATATCTAATTATAATTAAAAAATTAAAATGACAATTCTATTGAAGTGAAGCATCCACACACACTGACTAATGTAGGTGAATGAAGATTTTACAAATTTACAGCACTTATACTTTTACCAATGTATTTTTAATCTATATCACCAATTTATTTTATAACTTTTAATTTATAACAATTCATTTACTTGTTTTTTAGCGGTAGGTTCAGTGCCTCGCCAAAGCATAAAGCTTCTTGGCTTAGGCTGGTATAATGTGTGTGTGTGTGTGTGTGTGTGTGTGTGTGTGTTTAAGAGCCATGATGTAATGTGAAGACTCAAGTCTTTCCCACACTTGGAGAGGGATCCCTGACAGCCTGGGAAACTAAAAGCTTCCATCTGTTCAACAGGTCAACAGAGGGTCCTATGACCTTTGACACAGATTTGTCCCCCAGTAAACATGATGGACCAAGCTGTTGACAGAGTGGTAAACGATACAGACCAGTTCTGTGTAATCTCATCTGAGTCAGACTTATCCGATATTCTGTTGACAGGTCGTACATCTAATTTGTCAACAAAGGAGGAAAAACAAATTATTTGGTAATTACATAACTTTTTCCACCATTAAAAGTGATTTATGAAACACCTTCCAAATTTAAATTTGCTTTTTAAAATGACTTCACTATCAAGGTTGGAATGCTCATGGCTTCACAATGCCCAACATGAACTTTTCACACTGTGCTTAACTGTGCTTTTCACACTTGAAATAGTTAACCCTGGGTTATTGTAAACCTGTGTTATATTGCTTCAATTCCTAACCATGGGCTTAACGTTCTTATTTGCAAATTTGCGGTGTCAGTGCCATGCCTAGACCAATAATGCAGAACGCGACCTGTTTACATAACAGCTCTAGCTCTTCGTATTATATACCGTACAGTAGGCTATATCTTTATTTTCCAGAATGGACTTTTCGGTGGACTGTCAAGGTAAACATAAAGAACAGTCTCTTCTTAACTCCAATTCATCTGTTTGACATTTTCCCAATCAAACACTAAAACTAATGTACAACGCTGCTATCTCCATGACTGTCCACGTGAATACGAAACACGCGATTGGGTGTCTGTTGCTAACCATAACATTCAGCACCTCATAATGGCTTTTCACACTACATTTGACTTCCAGTGTTGCCAATTTAGCTACTTTGTCAGGTTATCGTCGTTCTAAACACTGCTTTTGACCCCGGGTAAAAGAACGTTTCACGCATGTAACGTAGAATCGGGGTTAGCACAGCTTCTTACCTGGGGTTCTGAAACCCCACTCTGGAGTAAACTTTGCCAACTTTGT